CCCGCCAGAACACATGACCGATATGCGTCACCGACGATGCCAAACACGGGCGGGCGAACACGCGGTCGCCGGGCTAGGCGTGTTGATAAGCCGGGCGCAACGACTATCAGTGGCTACCGTTGCGCGACCTGTCACCGCATGTTGATGCCAGCGTCCTTCTCTACGGATGACACGCTACAGTGTCCTTTTGTAGTGCACCAAGTATGACGCGTTCGCCGCTGTAAACTATCCGTGTAAATGGCAGGAGGGACAGTGTGCTCCGTTCTGCACTTCGAAAACCGGACCTTGCAGGGCATAAACCTGTCATTCTTTCGGTTCCCTCCAGATCAAATCACGTAAGTAAACAACTTCAGCTTCGCGTTACTCATGCTGACCTACCTCATTCAAATTGTGTGTGTAAAACATATATATGGTCCGTGTTTGTTGAATGCTGAGATGTATATATTTGTACAAAGCCTTGTAGTCTGTGTAAACAGAGATCTGTGTTTGTTGAATGCAAAGCTGTACATATTTGTTCAATGTGCAATAAATATTGTCTCTCAACAAAAAAATTGTCGAATGAAATTTATGAGTGGAATCTGAGTTCGCGCCTTCAATTATCATTGTAGAAATACTAAAATAATCCAAACCAACTTTGTTCAAGGCCAGCATGGTCTATTACGAATAATGATGACTATCCACGAAGTAATAAAAAAATATTCCCAACTTTCTGAATATTTTTTTTTGTTGCCTTGGGCTGCTGCAAAGCACCATCTATTCGCACTTTGAAGATAGCGAGAAATTGATCACTCGATTAAATCGTCTCATATCAAATACACAGAACCCCGCTCCTGATATCAGAATTTTGCGCCAGCCAGACATTACCGAAATCAGCACTTTGGAAAATTCCCGACATACCGAGCTCGCGAAAATAGGGTCGTTTACTCAAAGTGCCACCTCGGGCGCCTTAGCGATAATCATAGTAGCAAATATTTTGCTGGGAAGTATATGACAATACATTGCTGTGACTGCTAAACCTGCGCCTCGTCTCGACATAGTTCCTTAGTATAAGTTGCTCTGTACAGCTTTGAAGTGCGATTATGACTAACCACATTTATTAGAACACCTTTCAATACCACCCGTACAAATTTCGGTACTCGCTGATGGAGCTACATGCATGCGGTTTATATAACACAACGTAGACATGGAGCTCATTTTACGTATAAGCGACCTTTAAATGAGTGACTAATGAAATGTCCGGTGGGTTTTAAATTCAACAGACAACCTACGCCGCTGCGACCGAAGAGCGTGCACACACTGAAAGAAGTTCGGCCTCCGAGATCCCGAAGCGCGCGCGCGAAGGCGCGCTTCGGGATCTCGGACTCCGGAGGCCGTGTTCGACCGGTAGTAAAATATCCCGCACCGAGAGACGGCGCTACTCACCCTCCGATCCTAAAGGGGAAATCCGCAAAGCCATGACACATCCACCCATTCAAAGCGCGCAAAACCTGTCGTCTCCGAGGCCATTGTATTCGTGGGGAGTGTCCTGTATTCCCCCTCGTAAAGTATTTGTCCTCACTTTTGTTGGGACCCCCTTTCCCCTTCCCCCATTTATGATGTTTTGCAGCGCGCGCAACACACCGGGCGTAACGCATTCCACGCGCGACAGATTGCGAGCTGATTCGCCGATCACATGAAATGTCATTCGTTGTAAATGGCATTCGAGTTGCCCGTGTGGCACGGGTCTTTGTGCGCTGAAGCACTCGCTCCTTTAAGCCACGGCCTTGGGAAAACTATATTTGGTCCCTGCCTGCCAATCACCGCGGTCGCGCGACGTCGGGTGTTGCCGTCCCCACGTCGCTGCGCTTCGCAGTTACCCCAGCAGTCTTGGCCTCTTGGGGCCGGGGCCCCGATGATGCCACCCTGGCTTGCCCCTACTGCTCTGCCAGGGCGTCCGCAGTTTGCCTCCGACACATTCTCTGGAATTGCCCAAATCTTCAGCATCGCCTCCTTCCCCTGACTCGGGCACGAGGCCTCAACCTGGCCTCCCCTGAGGACTGCTACACATGGACCAGAGTGAACGCGCATGCCGGAGACCTTTTGGGTTTTATACGGGATGCACAAACAGCGCACCGAATCTAAACAATCAAGCTATGCTTGTTGCGCTAGAAAAAAAAAATATATGGCGCTTTCTAAATTGAAACGTAAGGACCGCCGCATGTTCATCAACATTCCTGTTCTTCTTTAATACGCTACTCCAAAAATTCCTCTAGCTCAAAGACTGCTGTGTCAAAGTATTAATTACCTAGGTTTCTCTGGTAGGCTTTCTTTCATCTGCCGCGAAAGACACATCTGCCGCGAAAGAAAGTTGGCGAAGAGAAGTGGGCTAAAGCAAAGAAGGCGATTTCTGGACGCTGAACCCGCACAGCGCGCTTACTTGTCTCAAGTTCAGTCGTTGCACAAAGCGTTCCAAGAACTTTTTGATCCTGGCTCGCGATGTCTTGCATCGATGTACACAGATTCTTTTTTTTTTTTTTTCTGTGTGTTTAGCTTGTACCTCGCCTGCCCGCTTGGCAAGCACGTGCCGCTGGACTGTTTTCAGTCGTATGCTGGAGCAGTTACGTTTCGCATACAATTTTGGGAACCAGTTGGCGACAGAGCAAAGTGCCACGGTTTCGATCGAACAGCCATCTCCCCTCGCGCTAGAATTTCGCATTGCAATGCAGTAGTTATGTGTTTAATCAGTTGGAGACTGCTTTAATTTATTTTATCACTAGTCAACCTACTGCTGTGCTATTTACTACTAAGCTGGTCATTTTCAAATAAATTTTAATACGTGCGCTTTGGTTCTTAATTACCTATAGCGGGAACATATATAGGTATCATTTAACTCAAGCATTGCAAAAGGTGTTATGTCATTGGCATTTCAGTTACACGTTGAAAGGCTCCCAGGTGGTCTAACTTCACTATAATTTGTTTATTGCGGCAAGCAAAGTGTCCTTCGTTCGTCGTGCACTTGAAACAAATACCTTTTTGTTTTTCTAAAAATAGTTTCTCCAGAAGCCACTTTTGCTGCTCCGAAAGCCACTTATTCTGCTCCAAAACACTGTTCTGGCTGCTCCAAAGGCCACTTTTGCTGCACCAAAACACTGTTTTGGCTGCTCCAAAAGGTGCTCCAAAACGGCTTTGGCCAATCACCTCACTGCATGTGTTAAAGGGAGGGTGCAACGATTCCCGGACTTCGGTCAAAAAGTTGTGGAAGTTGCCCTCTGACACTTCTAAGGTAAAGAACAGAAAACCGATTTCGCCTGCGTGCCCTAGTTGTTGTGTAAAAAAAAAAAAAAGGCATTTCTGGCACCCTTTAACTCGCTTCCAGTCTTCTAGGTTTACACCTGGTCGCACTCCTAGTGACGTAATTAGAGGTGCCGTGTAGGTTCCCGTGTGCTCTCTCGGAGGACGCTTCCCCTCCCTCTCTCTGCCGAAATTAGCGGGCGTTATGCTGCAGCTTAGAGCCGAGGGAGGCTCTAAGCTGCAGCTTACTCGAACCGCTAGGGGTTCGTTCTGGCGGAGTTTAAACCCCCTGCAATGACTACTCTATATAGGCGAGCGCATTTCTGAAATCGCGACGAATGTTGCTCTAACTTTGTACAGGAACAAAGCTGGGCCTTGAAATTTCACCAGGTTAAGTGCACCTATAAAATACGAGGTCTGTTGGAAAAGTATTCAACCTTTGGCCGAAGAAAAACAACTGGCATAACTGGAGCGTTGGGAGCCTAATCACCCTTAACGTAGTCTCCTTGGGACTCAAAACATTTCTCCCAGCGGTGCTGCCATTGTTGGAAGCATTCCGAGAAGGCCTCTTTCGGAATGGAGTTTAGCTCAGCTGTCGTTGCGACCATAATGTCCTCTCTTGTCTGAAATCGTGCTCCTTTTAATGGCCTCTTGATTTTGGGAAACAGCCAGAAATCGCAGGGCGCCATGTCAGGAGAGCAAGGAGCGTGTTGAACTACAGCAGTCTTGTTTTTCGCCAAAACAAGTCTGCATCAAGTGCGAGGAATGTGCAGGAGCACTGTCGTGATGGATGCGCCAATTTCTTGTTGACCACAACTGTGCCGCACAGCATCACGTAGGCGACGGAGGGCATCCCTGTAGTACTCTCTGGTGATTTCTCGGATAGTCACACGACGGTCCCGCATCACCACAGCGTTCACTTCGGCAATGAGCTGGTCATTTCGTCATGTTGATGGCCGACCGGAGCGTGGCTCGCTCTCCACCGATGTGCGGCCGTCTTGAAACTGGTTGTACCACTCCTTAATCTGTGTGCTGCTCATAGCATCGTCACCAAAAGCCGTCTGAATCTTCCAAATTGTCTCCACTTGGCTGTCTCCCAGTTTCTGGCAAAATTTGATGCAGTAGCGCTGCTCCAGCCGCTCCGCCATTTTCCTTGCAATAAAAAAAAACCGACGAGAGCACTGCGCGCTACTCACTCAAACGCTGCGTACGAGTGACTGACGCTATCGAATTCACGCATGCGTATGAAGGTTCAAGGTCGGCAAATGCAAGCGCTCTTCGCAAAAAAAAAAAAAAAAAAATATCGGATACTTTTGTAACAGACCTTGTACACCTTGAAAATAAGAGCTTGTTATAAGCAGGCGCCGATTTTTCCGATCGACTTTAAGTGTGTCGCCCGGCAACTTTCTCTGGGGGAACGCAGGGAAGTAGAATTTAGGCTTTTATTTAGTGCTCGACTGTGAAGGCTTTTCTTATTTTTTGCACACACGTTGTAGGTAGTATTCACAATTGGTAATTGCTAAGCTGTTGAACATTTACTGGAAGATCAAATGTGTCCAAAACATAGATTTGTGCTCCAACACCCGCCTTCATACTCAAGTGTTTAAGATGGCTATTTCACGAGCAGAAATTATATAATACAAAGAACGCAAAACAAAAACAGGGGAGGGACAGAGACAGGCATGTACCTCTGTTTGTGTTTTGCTTTCTTCGTATTACGTATTAGAGCAATGCACGTGCCGCTTTTCTCAGGGGTAAGCCCAAGCCCGTGCAGTGCTCAATTATGTAATAACGCCCAACACACTCATCATACCATTAAAAATTACTTCTGTCGGCCACCTCGGTAGGGTTTCTGATTTAATGTGATTGTTCCCACAACCTAAGCATTATTTTCAGGAAATGCCCTTTTGTCTTTGGTTTCCATTAAGAATTCAAGTTTCTTGTACGTAAACTTTGCAGGTCCTTGATACAGATCTGGGTGAGTACCTGGACTGGGACATAGACGCGACCCTCAGTGCGGGATCGAAAATCAGGGCTCCGCTGCTTGCGCCGCGACAGCCGACCCCACCTCCTGCTTCTGTAGCTGACGCACCAGAAGTGTAAGATTGAGTGCTCTTAGTTTTTGAAGTGGTAGCTTTATAGGGTGAACCAACCTCAGCAGCTGTGCCTGCAAAAAGCGTGTATGTCGCGTGGACTGAGGAGGAAAGCTGAAAAGGGAGGAGAGGCTGCTCGACTTGCGCAAAGTTACGCAGAAGGGAAGCGCTGCCTGATGAGGCCACACGCCCGGTTTTTCTGCAACGTGGCACAGAACATTTGAGATGGACTCCTGTTGAAGAAGTTTTGACGGCGTGTACTAACGCACAGCTTGGGAGCAGCGCATTCTGGGAAAAACGCCATCTTTGTGTCTGCAAATGCAGACAGCTACACTGCCCAGCAATTCTTGCGGCGACACCATGCACGAGCGACGGGGGCTCTATACAGTTACAGTGCAGTGTATAGTTGCGGCAACGTGACAATGTTGTCTTCAGGCACGTTGTCAGGGGGTGGGGCCTGGCCCCACCCCCTATAATAAGTAAGTAAATTTGGGGGGTTTACATGCCAAACCAATGAAGGGCATCTGGCATGCCCCAGCGGAAGACCGAGCATTAATTTAGACCACCTGGGGATCTTTTGACATGCAACCCAAATCTCAATTACGCTGCACCTTTTCTACAATATGCCTCTGTCATACTGCGGGCACCTTGGCCAGGATTCGAACCCGCCGACTGGGGATCTGTTGGCGAGAGCCACCGAGGTGGCTCAGAGCTACATATAACAAATCTTTATTTCACATGTCCTAGAAAACCGACGCTGACCTGTGATTTGGAACACACAAGAGGGTGAGCACAGACTAACAAGCGGATAACCATAGAGCAGAGTAGCAATATAAAGTGGAGAAATTGTTGAACCCTTGGCTGTTTGGCTTCAGCATTAGCTCATTATGACAAAAACGGCTCGTTGTGTGCCTCAAAACGGTCTCAGTGGATGGATGACAGACGGCGTGAAGGAAGGATCGTGGCGTGCAAATCCGAGGAGCTTCTTGACGTATGCCGAGGAAGCACAAGGCAGTGGTGTGCGTCAGCCAGGAACGTTTCCTGGAGTCTCTTGCACGCGTGGCACACGAATCACGCGACAAAACACTGTGGTGCACCGACCAATTCAGCTGGGCGAAAGGCGGCGAGCATAGCGATCAGCAGCCATGTTTTATTTTCTAAACTTCTGCTGTTGCCATACGAAATGCTTTTCAAGTTGCTCTGTTCCAGATCCCCCGCCAACATCCGTGAATGAAAAAGCGTTTGCCTTTTTCACTCCCTGCCGCCCAAAAATCTAAGCGCAGATCGCAGGAGTCATGCGGATTAGCCTTAACAAGCTTTGTCATGCGCAAGCAAGTTTTTCTAACGCTCGTAACTACAAGCGGATGGGTCCAGGAGCCGTCAATGGCAGGGGTCATTGCACAGAGTGTGATAGCTTGGAGGTAGGTAGAATTAAGCTGTGTAATCGGTCTCCTTAAGAACGGTGCAGCCCAGAATAGAGTGATACCGTGAATTAATGGGGCCATATGTGGGCAGCACGAGCTAGCGTACGGAAGGCTGTTGTTGTTTTTCACCGACGGTGCAAAAAAGCTGGGAAATTGCTGTGACTCAAGAGTGCAAAACATGCTCATGAACGGAATAATTTCTTTCATGGCTGATTGGACGCCTCTTCTCTGATAAGAAACTCACATTCGGGTTTTTGGGAATCCTCTACTGCGACTGAACTTGGTCCTATATATCGAATAAAATAATGTCTGTCAGAAGCGGGCTATGCCGGCGCAGACTCTAAACAAGTCCTGTGAGCACACTCTGTCTTGCCAGGTGAGAGATTGACTGGCCTTCTAAGGGCATATCATCGCAAGTCTACCTCAATCGCAAGACGAGGATCGTGCTCCCAGCACTCACCACTTTCATTGATGGCTCCTGTACCCATCTGCTTGTAGTTATGGTCATTTAAAATATCTGCTTGCTCGTCATTTCCACCGGCGGCTGCAGGTTGCTGTGTTGGACGAGACCCTTTGGCGGTAGACCAAACTGATCCGTGCCACAAATGTCCACCTTCTTCTCGTGTACGCATTCTCTTCCGCTGCCTGTCATAAGGACCCAGTGATAGACAGCCACCTGCCGAAGACAACATCGTTGCCACAACTGCCGTAAAATACCAAGCACCCCCATTCCACACTAAGCGCCTACCTCCAAATTTTGTAACATCTAAAAATATATATGCACAGTACAAATATCTGTAAAATTGATGACCTAGCAAGTATACCCATCCCCCACCATTCGCAATTATTTCAAAATTTTTGAGTGGGTTCTTCCACTGTACTTTACACTATACACTGCACCGTAACATCACAGCTGATTGGAGGGTGGTTTCATTTGAAATTGAACACGCCTCTCTTTCAATTTCTTTTTTAAAAATGTATGTAATTGCCCCATGTCTGCAAAGAAAAAACCCGCGTTTCAATTTTTTTTTTTTACTTCTTTGCTTTACAAAAAATATTAAGTGGAGCAGGGTTAAAATCTGTTTTTTCCTCCGCGATTTTTCTACCTAGTTCTGTACGCTGGTATGAATACAAAAAGCATACAAAACGGACAGTAATTTTTTGTTTGCCTGTACACCATGCCGACGTTTTTTTAGTTAGAAGAAAAATACTCCAGCATTTTGTTTGACGGAGATAAAAATTGCCAAACATCGTCTCTTTGACAATCCGGTGACATATGCAGAGCCTTTTATCTCATGAGCTATTATATTTGTCACTCACCAAATACGGAATATTTCATATTAAATCTGAGAAACCGATATTTTCAACCCACTTTATTAAAAAAAGAAATTTTTTATTTCGCTTAATTTTTTTATTATTGCTGCCTATCATATTAACTTTCAATTGACTCAATTGGATTTCCCCCCTTTTTTCGTTGTATCTTCTCTACGAGTGATCAAAATCGCATCCATGCTCTCGGAACGGCCAGACGTAGGTTCCGCAGGTCAAAACGAATATTGTGTACTGTGGCGAGGTAAGCCGCTAGCTCTGTCACATGAGTTCTTGCCGTGGCCGAATGCCGAGAATAGCCATCTTGTTTTGACAGAGCCGCCTTGCACAAATTCGAAGAGCTGGTAGCTGTTCTGGCTTGAAGTAGGGTGCAGCTCCGTTAGACAGGTATGTGGTGCTTGAATAAAGAGGAACATGGTCTTCTAACCAGTCTTTAATCAATCGGATTGCCAGCAGAGCATGTGGCGTGTCATGATCTTCAGCCACAACGCCAAAGCTCTGGGGACCCTTAGGAGTTGATGCGACGGAAGCGGCAAAAACCCTTGGCGTGTGCACGTAACTCTACGTTTTGAGGTGTGTGCCCTGAACCATGGATAAATGTCCCCGACTGCCGTCGCTCCTTGCCCGACCTTGCGTCGATATCCGCGGTTTACACACGGCACCTTCGGTCTACGGGTTGTCAGTACGTTTGTTCCAGTGGCGACAACAGAGAAGACCACGTCAGCTGGACTCGGAACCTCCATGTGAATTGGCCGGCCCTTGCGTTGTCATGCCAGACACGTGAACAACATATCTTCGAGCGGCGGACTTGAAAGGACCACTTTCTACAACGCGGGGCTCCAGGGCAGGACATGTGCAGCGAGCTTGGCGGCCAACTCGGTCACACCAAGGCCGGTGGCGCTCGGCTCAGTGGCAAGTCGTGGGGACACTTGAGAGGCGACATAAGAAAAGGGGGACTTCCGAAGCAGATCGGGACTCTTGAGCGCAGACCTATCGACATTCGGTCTTCTCCGCTCTTTGTGTCCTGGCATTACACACCGGATAATGAAACATCCGTTGCACTGCTAACCACCGGACTAAGGTACGTCAGTTACTATCATTACAAAACTAAAAAAAAACACAATATGTGTCCAAGCACGAGTGTTCCCGGCCAAATTAAATTTACCCTCTGCCTTTTAGCGCAAATAACAAGCCGCATGTTTTTTTGCATTGAAGGTGACCTGCAGAAACTACTTCTGGCCGTTACGAGACGTGGGTGCAATTTCGATCACTCTTAGAAAAGATACAACAAAAAAATGGGAAAATCCAATTGAAAGTTAATATGACAGGCAGAAAAAATAAAAAAATCCAGCGAAATATTTTTTTTTTAATACAGCGGGTTTAAAATATTTGTAAATATCATTTTCACAATTCCTTAGATTTAAGAGGATATCGCACCTCCCGAGCCCTATGCAATTCCAATGGCAACGTTTTAGCATTTTTTCTCAAGAACCACCGAGCGGAATGACTTGGGATTGGTTTTATTAGAAAGGCAATAAAAAACTGAGTAATATTGCGGCACTACATTTTTCGATTTTTAAGCTTAAAATGTTTTACGGGAACTTAAAGATGATTAAAAAAGCCTTTTTTTTCTGGTTCTGTGCTTCATAAACATTTAAAAATAAACCGGGGCCTAAATACAGATTTAGGCTCGACAATATTCAAGACCAGGACTTTTTGAATATATCTCTTACAATATCTTTTTTTCCAGAGATTCTCATTGTAATAAAATTTAACTAAGTTTGTAGCCTATCAAAACGTAAAAAATCCAGCTGTCAGGTGGCACCATCCATGAGTGTGTCCGCAATACTTGCTCTTGAAATTACGCAATGTGTTATTGCGCCCCGGACTACTTGCATCTTCAAGGTCGTCGGGCTGACAGTCGGGATTTTGAGGAAAAGTGCCTCTCGAAACAGATTTTTTTTTTTTTGGTGGGCGAAGATATTTTGCGTGTTATCGCGATAGTGAGCGTGGGAATATTTGTCGGTTGTGAAGTGTGCCGATCGCAAGTGCAAGACAGCGTCGACTGTAACATCCGCCTCGAGATAAATACTCCTTTTCTTTATGGTTTCGCTAGCTCTTCAAAGTCAGGGTTATTCAGACAAAGATGAGGATGCAATATTTTTGAAATCGTCTTTTCGCGCACAGCTGCGTTGTCGCATACACTCCTTGAACTCAGGTTACCGGCTGCTGGAAGCATGCCACGCCTGTTCT